AATGGGTAGGACTTCTTGGGGGGGAACGAGAAAAGAAGTAAACATGATTAAAATGCATTGTATAAAGTTATCAAAGAATTGATTAAATATTAATAAGAATGTGAATATATATATATATATGTATATATATATATACATATATATATGTATATACACACACACACACACACACCAAGGCTAAGCAAGGAACATCATATGCTAAAAGATGAGATGTTAAGATGCCCATAATTTATCATACATTATTATTTCATGCTTGTAGTTTTTAAAAATTCAGTATTTATCAAAAAAAGTAAAGACCGAAGGTAGTGTGAATATAATTTCTTCCATTCCCTAAAAGGATATCTAAATCCAGGGAATAAGGACAACAGAGATGACTCAGAGGGTAGAAAGGTCTTGCCACAAAAACATAGCAACCTAAGTTTTATTCCCATGCAAAGGTAGGAGGAGATAACCCACCCCACAATGTTGTCTTCTGATCTGCACATGCCTTCGGTGGTACATGCAGTTTGGTGCACACGTGTACACATATGCACACATACAAAAAATCATGCTCATGTACAATATTAAACGCATTTAAAAATTTTAGAGTCCTTCTTATTAACTACTCATGTTGAGGGAGAGAATGTGTGTTCCTATGTACATAGATATGAGCATGCATGGGAGGTCAGAAGACACACTTAGGACTCAACTCTCACATACTGTCCAGTTTCTTTGTTTGTTTGTTTGTTTGTTGTCTTGTAGACAGGCTTACTCACTGTTGGGAATCCTGAAACGAAGATCAGGCTATGTGGCCAACATGCCTCATGGGCTGCCTGTCCCCACCTTCTCAGTGTCACTAAACCCAGATTTTTGTAATATGATCCTTGGGATCAAACTTAAATCACTGTGTTTGTGAGCACAATATTCCTGAGCTATTTCCCTATTTGCTTGCTGACACCTTCCAGACCTAAATTTCACAGATTCCATGCTAAAGATGTGTGTTACCATCTAGAAAAACAAGTATTTGAAAATTCTTCTGGGTAGTTGGTCTATGAATCAATAGGCAAGTGTCAACATGGGGGAAATAGCAACTTCTTTTAGTTCCTGTTTTCTGATAGCACTGTGTTTGATATCATCATAAAACAGGCCTCTCTGTTGAGCAATATGTCTTTAGAAACGAACAAAAGCCTTGAACAAGCAGAGCAAACTTGACCCTGACTTAGAGTCTGGGGCAAAATCACTAAAATAGTCATGATCCTCCCACCATCACAGCAATGAACTAGCTACAATCAAATCAGTTCAGTCCTCATGAAAACATGGTTAAATTGCTCAGTTAAATTTATACCTCCTACTCATAATTGTAGTTACAGTTATGATGGACAATAAAAGCTGAGAAGAATTTTTTTACATTGTAGCTCAACACAATTTAGCATGAAAGTTGCTAAGGTTTGAACAGCCAAAAGTTTTTTCTCTTGAGGCTCCTTTAAAACATATTTAATGCTAACCTATAATTTTCTACACAATGTAGGGATTGTGACAATTGGAGAGGAAAAGAAAATTTGTACTGTCTCTGAGAATTTCTTGAGGATGTGTGAATCTACTGAGGTGAGTATTTTTTACACTCTAATTTTGTTAAAATTATAGCCTACAGTTTTCTACTTAAAGAATGTTTTACAATTAAATATATTTTGATTTTTTTCTATCAGAGATTGTTTAGCTTGCAGTTTTTTCATGCAGCCTACTAGAGAACAAGTATAAAAATTATTTTGTATATTTAAATGCCATTATTATAAGTGCTTGAGGTATTTCAGAAATTCATTTTAACAAAAGTTGAAAATTATAAAGATATTTTATAACTTTATGTTGTTAGATCCATATGTAAAAAATCCATCATTTTCAAAGGCAGTCTAATCTTTATAATAAAATTATAGTAAAATGGTTCCATTGTAGTGATTTAACTGATTTGATTTGAAAGAGAAAGACTATTTTAATGCTATTGTGGATGAAATGCATGAATTGTCAAGTGCTACCACTTATTGATGATATACTAAGTCATCTTTATATGATAGTGACAGTCCCAATCTCTCTTATCTATGTGACTGACTCACCTTGGGTTTTGTGTGTGTGTGTGTGTGTGTGTGTGTGTGTGTGTGTGTGTGATGTTTTGTTTTGTTCTGTTGGATGTTTGTTTTGTTTTTTACAGCTGAACATGACCTTCCACTTGTTTATTGTGGCACTTGCTGGAGCTGGAGCAGCCGTTATTGCTATGGTAAGTCCCTCCCAGCTCCTTTATTGACTTAACAATTTGAATTTCAAATCTATTTGCTTGAATATGCAATTTGCTCCCCATATAATTTCCATATAAGTTATTATTGTCAGGATAGTTAGAGAGGGTCTGAGGATATGAATTAGTGGTTAAGAGCACTGGTTGCTCCTCCAGAGGAACTGGGTTCAATTCCTAACATCCACATGGTAGCTTACAGCTGGGGATCAGACACATTTTTCTGGCCTCCATAGGCACTAGTCATTCATGTGGTACACAAACTTGTAGGAAAAAAAAAACCACTCATACATATAAAATAAAAATAAATCAGATTTTAAAGATAATGAAAAGTTTTTTAATATATGTATTGATTTATTTGGCAGTGGGTAGCAAGTGGGCCAGAGTGAGTATGTGTGAATGTCAGAGGCTAGTTTGGGGGAATATTTTATCTTTTCTACCATGTGGGTCAGGGAATTTGAACTTGAGTCACCAGGCTTGGCAGCAATCTCCTTTACTCATTGTGCTATCTCACTGGCCCTATACATATTATTTTGAATAGAAAGAGTGTAGAAGATTGTGCTAAAATATTAAACTCTATTTTAAGGATAATTTTCTCTGGCTAGTATCATTCTAAGATTCTGAGTTACCATAAATAATTTTCAACAGTATTTATGACTTTTCCACTTTAATGATAGTTTAGGCCATTAGAGGCAGGGTTAAAGTAACTACCACTACTGTTTCTGGAACTAAAAGTTCATTACTTTAAATATTCTCCTATTTAAAGTACTTAAATGATTCAATATTTATAGGAACAGTTCTTCATACTATCTCATTCTGTATTTATAATATAGCTATCATCATTATTTCTATCAAATAGATGAGAAAATTCAGATGATTTCTATTCTATCAAAATATTGATGGCATCATCTGTAATTTAAGGCATGGTTACAAGGATTTGTGTTAAAAATAAGCAGTTTCTCTACCTAGTTATTTTGTAGCCATGTTAAGAAGGATGCTAGAATAGTTTTGAGACAACTTTGTAACCATCAGTCAGGAGGGAAGTACAGCAATAGCATGACATTAAGATTAAAACTGTCCCCGGCTTCAGAACTAAATGGTCCTGAATTTCTTTCCATTATTTTATTCATATAACTTTAATTTAATAAATAACATAAATGCAGTAAAATACTATGTTTAGTAGTTTAGGAATAACATTTTCTCACATAACAAAGAGTAAGGTTTTGAACATTTAAAATTACACATTTATTTACCAGTTATTCTAACTAGCACTTGATTTTGTTCCTGTAAATTATTTGCTTTTAGAAGTTGACAGAAATTCAATATATTTATCTTATTAAGGACTTTGGAACTCTTTGCAATATGAAATTGCTAAATTAAAGCTAATGAACATGTATATTACCTCATTTGCTTTAAGGTGTGAAAAGATAAATCTACTTTTCTAAGTGATATTCAAGGATACAATACACAATCATTAACTATATTTGCCACATCAGAGAACAGATCTGTTTATCATATATACCTCCTATGCAGGAATTTTTGTGTCCTTTGACCAATATCTCCCCCATATTCTCCTTAAACCCTGGGTCATTTTCCTTCCTACCACAAGTTGAATTTTAGTTTGAGCTTATGAATAGGATCATGGATTTTTTAAATCTTTGTGGTTCTGGATTGTATCTAAATATAATAAAATCCAATAACATAATTTTCTCCTTTTATCAGACTTAATATCATTTCATGCTGAATTATATGATCAAAACATCACAGAAACTTGAGCATGTGGAAGCTCTCTTTGATTTACATGCACTGACAGAGCTTAAGCTCCTTAAGCTTTCATAATAATGCCATAGCATAGTATGCAGGAATACCATTCAAAGCCCCTTCTCTCAAGACACAGCTTATACTAAACAAAAGGAAAATTTTCAAGAGAAATAGAATATCCTGAAAAAATGCCAAAGCAGATTATACTTTTTCTTACACTTTTGTGTCACAATAGTTAGGATTAGGAGCTGTTGATCTAGAATACTTGACTAGCATGCACAAGACCTTGGGTTGATCACCAACATTACTATTAATTGATTAATTAATATTGTGCTATAAATTAAACATAATAAATACACTGTAATATTTAGCCTTTAGAATGATTTTATTATGTATGCACATCTGTACTTTCCTAGTGTCAGTTGGTCTCATGTCTTGTTATTAACTTTCAATTAATGACATCACTTACCCCTACCCTTTTCTCCCTTTAGTCCCTTCCAGTTACCCTCCTTCAGACACCTTCCATGCCCTGTGTCTTAGCTACTTTTCTATTGAAATGACAAAACACAATGCCCAAGACAACTTAGAAGGCATTTAATTGGGGGACTCACCTTTCCAGACAGTCCATGACTGTCATGGCAAGGAGTATGGCAGCAGACAGGCAGTCATGGCATTGAACCAGTAGTAAAGCTTAATGCCTGATCCATTAGGCAGAGAGAGACAGAGACAAAGACAGAGACAGAGATAGAGAGACATAGAGCAGTAACTAGGAATGGCATGGACTTTTGTAGTCTCAAAGCTCACTCCTAGTGACACACCACCTCCAACAAGGCAACACCTCCTAGTCCTTCCCAAATAGTTCCAACATTAGCAGATCAGGCATTCAAATATATGAACATATGGGGGTCATTCTCATTTAAACAGTAACATGTATCCCTCCCAAATTGCTGGCCTATTTTGCCTTGATAGTATTTATGATCGAGCAATTAGGTACTTAGTATTTACTTTTCCAAATGTTTAATAAAAAACATTGTCTACTTTTTTTAATCTCAAAAAGTGCAACTTAGCTGTTAATTCATCCATCAAAAATTACTAGGTTGAAACCTTTCATTTTGCACATGAAGGCGAAACCTAGAAACTTGTGAATGCTAGGCAAGTAGTTGACCACCAAGCTAGACAAGGGAAGGGTCTAAAGAAAAGGCTCAAGTTGACTTTGCACTTTTATCCAGATTAACATTAAAACTGTGATCCTCCCTCTGCATCTCATGAGTAGCTGTGAATACAGGCCTATCCCACCAGGCTTAGCTTATTTGCTTCATTTTTTAACATAATACCTTCCTGGTTATTGAGTACATACTAAAATAGATGATCCATATGACTGTTTTATCTTCTAATATACCTAATGTCATCTAAAGGCAATCGAAAATCAACGTTAAAAAAATTGCTTGATAATGAAATATACAAGTTTACTTTCGAATTTCTGAGAGCATTCCTCTTGGCACACTATAAATTCAAAATATGAACCACATAAGAGAGTAATTCTGCTTATGTATCATACAGCATGATTCACAGATACATGAATATGAAGCAAGCAGTTTTAGGATTTGGGTAAGTGATGATAGCATAGGCAGGAAACATTAAAGAGCATTTATAATCAGAATTGGATTTTTTCAGATTTGCAATAGGGTGAAAGATATTTAGCTGAGTGAGGAAATACATTGTAGCCATAGTGTCCTTAAAACACAAATGTTGTTTATTTTTAAAATGTGAGCTTTCTTGCATAAATACATAGTTTGGTTGCTTATTTCATTGTAACAACAATATACTCATAGTGAACAGACTGCCAGTATAAATGATGTTATCTCCATCAGGTCCACTACCTTATGGTTCTGTCTGCCAACTGGGCCTATGTGAAAGATGCTTGCCGGATGCAGAAGTATGAAGACATCAAGTCGAAGGAGGAACAAGAGCTTCATGACATTCACTCCACTCGCTCCAAAGAGCGGCTCAATGCATACACATAAATAAGTTTCTCTGTTGCTTACCATTCAAATGCATTGGTGTTTAATTAAGGGCCATCCAACCATCCAACCTGTGAAAAGCAAAATGCAAGTGCTTCTCATCAAAGATATGCAGGGTGACTAATGAATCACCTGAGCATAACTCTTTGCTGATTAGCATTTAATCTCCTTATTTGTTAAATTGGAATAACCAGATCTCTTCTACAAGCTCCTATTCAGCCTTTTTTTTTAATTTCTCAAACTGATTTCATAGTTCTGTAAGATCAAAGGTATTAACATTGTCAAATGCAAATATTTGGTTGAATTTTAATCATCTCCCACATATCACACACAACACTTTTTGCATTTTTTCTTATGTTTTGAAAAGAAAATAGCTTTTTATACTTTTTTGGTTTTGATTTCAGTAACTAGTTTAACTACAGGTAACCTTCACAGGGACCATTGTACATTATGAACAAGAGACAAAGATGGCATCACATTGACTCTTCTTGAAATAATGGAAATCTAGTCTGGAGATCAGTGGCCACATAGCTATAGGCCCTGGTTAATGTTTTCATCAATCTAAGGTGCAATTTCTAAATTTATAAGGGTAGGTTTTAAAAAAAGTGCTTCTTATCTTTGTTAACATTGTATTTTTTTTCTTGATGTACTTCAAAGGTATTTCTCTGAGTACTCATGTTTATGTTGTGAGCATGTAGAAACAGTGATGCTAATGCATGGCCAGTTGCCTTTCTAAGATTGTGACACCAGGCTTACCTTTTAAAGTTTAGTGTAGAAACAATTATCATGGAAATAACTACTGTGGACTGTTGGAGAATGATCTTTTTGTGATTTATGCAGTGGCTGGATTGGATCTTTTAATATGCTAATGTGGAAAATCAATTACCTTTATGAAGGTGGTATATTAAACATAAGCACACTAATCCCTCAAGACTTGTTTCACCCACTTAAAACTTTTAATGGATTGCACCTCTGTAAGCTATTTCTTAAAATGTGTATGATATATTTGAAAAGACTTCCATTAATATAATAGCTTTGCTTGCAGCCTTCCAATCTATGTTGGTTTACCTGTAGTGTTTTCAAAAGAGTGGTCAAAGGCCACAATAGAATGTATTGTTTGGGAGTGTAGTGATATATTTGTGTTTTTATTTCAAGTAAGTCATTTTAACCGAATGTTCATTCATATTCATTTATAAGAAGTACCTATATCAAACAAATTTTAAAGAAACAAGCAATCAGTATTACTGGACCAAATTTGGTGTTTATTTTAACCTTGCCTCTCTTTGATTATTTCTAATGCTACAAGAATGCTGTAAAGTGTCATTTAAAATAATGATGTAGCCTGACAAGAAATATTGTCAGTGTATAAACCTAGGTAGTATTGTGCACTGATTTGACCATTGTGAAATCCTCCCTCAGTGTAAGTGCATTCCCAATAAAATTTATTGAGTGAAACAATCTTTGTACAACTACTAGTCATGCATCATCAGTAATTTTACAAGTTCTTGTAGTAGGTAGGGGGTATTACTAGCGTTATCTGTGGCATGATTATGCATTCAGTACTATTAATTTGGGTGTCCTTTTGCTTTTTTAACACTTAGATTATCTTACTGGTTCAACAATTTTATCGGATATATGCAGTATTAAAGATATTCAGCAAAAGTATTAATGGGCTTCTTTAAATTCTATATTATAGTGTTTCAGTTCTGTGTCTACAGTTTGTGATGATTTTTAAAACTGTCTTTTAAATTTATGTAATGATGTTGACATTTTGGCTTTCATTTATGGTTTTAGGGTTTGTATTTTCACGGAGTGCTTTGTAGCAGGCATTACAAGTAATCTGTTTTGTACATAAATGTGCCAACAGCTTGATGGTGGCGTTTTTGAAATGTAGAACAAAGTGCTTGCAAAATGTAATAAATACACTTGTGTACTTTGTGTACTTATTATTCGTTTCTGCAGTGCTTTTTGTTTGTCTTGTTGATTTCTCCTCTTGTGTGTGCAGTGTTTTCAAATGCAGCAAATGCCGTCTCGGGAAGATTCTTACTTCAGTTGAGGAAATCTGAAACTTCAACACAATAAAAATTCTGTGTGTGAGTGTCCACTGGGGGAAGACTGACAAAAGGTCAATGAATAAATTCCTTGGGGGGATTATTTGGTATTGAAAATGTTGTTTGCCCAATTTATTTTTGTTTTCTTGCCTGATTTCTATTCTCTATGCTTTCTCTAGGGCTTCACAGACTCAGAGAAAAACAAAAAGAAAGACTAATGTAATTCAAAATCAAAAATGATTTCTTGGTTTCCTTCCAAATATGAAGGTGAGAGCAATGAAATGGAAAAAAATGTATTTTCTTGAATTTTTGGTGTAAATCAAAATTATTTTTCTTCTTATGACCAAATTCACATAAAAATGGTGGCATCAGAGTTAACAACTAATTTTATAAGATGTAGAAAATTACAGTTTCTACTCATGCATTGCTACATGTTGGCGCCTGAAACCTTCATGCACTTCCATGAAGAATATGTGTACTATTTGAAAGTACATCTGTACAAGTAAAAAGAATCATTTTAAGATAATAAGAAAGCTATTACTCCATGAATCCAATTAAATGATACTTATACTTTCATATCTTCCAAGGTCTATTAATTTTAGTATAGCAATAAGATAAATTGTCTTGAATTTATCATGTGAACAAAACTTTCATAATACAGTCTTCCCAGTTTACCCCTGGGAAATCTGTTCTAAGATTCCACAAGGACATTTGAAAATGTTGAGTATGGAGCCTATACACATTCTGTTTTACCAATGCATATATATACCTATGATATTCAAAGCATGTTATATACATTGAAGAACTTAGTGTGAATAATAATAAAAGCACAGTGATAGCAGTATATTAGTTAATATAATCTCTCTCACCTCTTATCTCTAGCTGAAGTCTCCTCTCCCTTCTCTATCAACTGCTGTACTGTTGGTAGTATATATAGTATGAATTCACTGGACAAATGGGTAGTATGTACACTGTGCATACACTAGACAAATAGGTAGTATGTACACTGTGGATACATTGGACAAATGGGTAGTATGTGCACTGTGGATACATTGTACACATGGGTAGTATGTGTACTATGAATACACTGGACAAATGAGTAATATGTTCACTGTGGATACACTGGAAAAATCGGTAGTATGTACACTGTGGTACACTGGAGAAATGAATAATATGTACAGTGTGGATACTGGACAAATGAATAATATGTGCACTGTGAACACACTGGACACATGGGTAGTATGTACACTCTGGATACTAGGCCAAAGGGTGATTCACAGTGGAATGAGGATCATCCTGGTACTCATAACAGCAATTTAAAATTCATGAGTTTCTGACATTTTTCATAGTTATTTTTGGCTATGATTGAACATGAGTAACTGACACAAAACTCCATAAAAGAAGGGACTGTTGTGATATACTTTTCAAAATCCAGTTTCCATGCAGCATATGTTTTAAGACTTTTTTGTTGAGATTATAATTAAAACAGTTCCTTCCTTTTTCTCACTCTAAACATTCCCATATACCCCTCCCCATTCTGTTTCAAATTTGTGGCCTCTTTATGTTATTGCAGTGTTTTTTAAATGAAGCATCCTTTATTTTTTAATTAAAAAGAACCTACAAAGCTTATCTTTAAAGTATAGCAATATGTAGTTAATGTTAATGTTAAGGATGTTAGTAATTTTAATAATAAAATCTGTACAGCCAACTTAAAGTTAGACTTTATGTTTAGTAATATTAAAAGTTAGAAAAAGATTTTCTGTAAAAGCAAATAAATCCAATTTTATTTTTGTCTTTACAAAATAAGCGTAGAGAAGTTTAAAGTGCATTTATTTTAATCAGATGTGTAGCTTAAAATATAATTCACTTTAATGAAATTTGAATTAGGCTATAATGTCATAAAGGAACACTTTAACATATCTTAAACACTTAAACATATCTTAACATATTGTATTCAGACAATAAATCATTTTTAATCACTGAAAGAAAATATTCATGAAATTCTACCATGGATTAAAGTATAATCCAGATGATGAATTTCTCAACATGAAAGGAATTCTAGGGCTTTTTATTGTTGTATAAGAATTTTGAGTTATTAAAACTAAAAAACATTAAGGGAAATAATATCTTAATGAATGAATCAAAAATTTTGACTGAAGCATCTTGATGTGTGTATTTATAACCTGTGAATTCTTTCTTGACAATGTGTGGAAATTTATCTATATATGTGTATATACATGTGCATTTGTTTTTGCATATATATGACTTTGGCAAGGAGATAAAAGCCTAACTCTTTAATATGTAAAGAAATCTAATTTTCAGAAACAATAAATTGATGTTAAAAAATTCCAGCTTCATTCAAGGGCTCAGAGAAAAGCTGGAACCATCCACTAGATTATGTTAGCAAGGCCATCCATTTCCGTTCCTGTTTCTCCACTGGTATCTGCTCTTCAGTGACTCACCCTGCAAAAACAATTCTGACTTACTTGCAGTTGAAATTATAATATACATTTGCTTTTTCCATAGACACACAATGTTGAAAATAATTTCTAATTCATCATCTTCCTTAAAAGCTTTATTTTAATAAGATGCTATCAAGCCTTTGAAATCAAGTACAGTAACATTTTGAAGTGAGAACTGAGTGTTCTAGGTCTGTGAATGAAGCCTAACAAGGCAGTAATTTTCCTGAACAGCCTCTGCGGCTTTAAAATAGTTTTTTTTTTTTCCAAATCACCTAGAGCTTAAAGTAGATAAAACTGATTCTAGAAAACATATTTTCACATACTGTGTCATTTGCATAAGATGACAATCGGTTTTAAGGTTTCTTTTTTCCTCTTAGATTTGCAATGTTCTTTACCTAACACCTATGAATCACCAGGTAACTTTCAGACATTCTTGAATAGGATCCCTCTATATTTATGCAAACATAAGCTTTGTGCTTAAAGTAAAAGA